CTGAGGAACTATTATTCAGCCTGAGCATAAGTCATTAACCCTTAATAATCACAGCCCCCTGAGCCTCACAATCCAACCAGTTTTCCACACATCTGAAATGTAAGAGCTGAACTTGGATGTTGGGTGACATGGTTTAGTGGGAGGTGTCCCTGCCCATGGCTGGGGGGTTGGAACTGGATGATCTTCAGGTCCTTCCCAACCCTAACTCTTCTACGGAGTTCACAAGGTTTCTGTGAAAAGCCTTGCTTAAGTCAACACAGACACCATCCACACTCATCCCTCATCCATAGACATAGTTGTTTTATCAGACTGTTACTCTGAGGTCCAGAGTCTGTAGTCTGCTCTTTGCATTCCCCATTGCCCGAGCATCTTGAAGTCCACTACTCAATCATTACCACTGCTAAGGTTACCACTGATGATCACAAAACTCATTTTGTCATTAGTACTTACCACTAATGGCATAAACTGAGATGCAGAAGGCTTGGTTTTACTGACTGCTGTGACCATTACTGCTGTGTCACCTAGCTGGATTCAGAAAAAAGAAATAAAATGAAATAACCTGCAAACAAAATAATGTTCGAATCCCTAAACTTATTCAGACTAAAACTCCTGAATATTCTTTGCAGAAAACAACCACATAAATCCATGCTTCACACCATTATGTTTGCTTTCCAAACAAAACTCTGCTTTACAAAACACAGCTGTTGGTTAGTTAGGGATTAAAGTGCCGCTTGAAGCTCTCTATCCTTTTAACAGGCTCTGATGTTCTAACAATGACTGTTCAGATGCACACATTATGAAGTTGCCCAAATTTCAACTGGTTTTTACCTGAACAACAGCAGATCCATCAGCAAACCTTGCCAGTTTTCCAGAAGATAATTCCATCTTTCTGTTGGAAAGAAATAAGCTGTTACTGATGGTGAATCCAAACACATTTTTCAGTAAGTTGTGTTCATCTACAGCACTGGCTGTACAGAATACAGGCTACACTTCATACTGGACACAAAAATCCTCATTAGATACAGAAATTGGAACTCTTTGTCCAAAAGTCCCCTAAAAGTGCTTTTGCCTCAAACATCCTACTTCATCACCTTGCAGCAAAGACCTGCAGCTACACTGGATCTCACCTGCACTCACACATATGGCCTAGAGGCAAGATGTTTTGCTCATACCAAAGATGAATCGTCCACCTGTTCTAGGTGGAGGTTGGTCTTCATAGAATCCCAGCCTGGTTTGGGTTGGAAGGGACCTTAAAGCTCCTCCAGCCCCAACCCCTGCCACAGGCAGGGACCCCTTCCACTGGAGCAGCTTGCTCCAAGCCCCTGTGTCCAACCTGGCCTTGAGCACTGCCAGGGATGGGGCAGCCACAGCTTCTCTGGGCACCCTGTGCCAGCGCCTCAGCACCCTTACAGGGAAGAGCTTCTGCCTAAGAGCTCAGCTCAGTCTCCCCTCGGGCAGGTTCAAGCCATTCCCCTTGCCCTGTCCCTACAGGCCCTTGTCCCAAGCCCCTCTCCAGCTTTCCTGCAGCCCCTTTAGGCACTGGAGCTGCTCTCAGGTCTCCCCTTCAGGAGCCTTCTCTTCTCCAGGGTGACCCAGCCCAGCTCTCTCAGCCTGTGCTACCGCCACAACACAAAGGTACGCACCCGCTGTACTCGCACAAGACACGGAGATCCACTCGGGCACCCACAGAGCCCCTTTCCCCACCTCAGCTTACAGAGCACCCTCTCCCCCCTGCGGAAGCTCCCCTGCCCCCCTCCCACAGCGCAGCAGCACTGCCAGCGGCAGTTTCTCCTCACGGTTGTTGAACCCGCCGACCCGCTGCCCACAGCCGGTACCGAGAGCCCCCTCCTGACCCCCTCACCTGCCGCCCACCTCCACCGTGAGGCTGCGGCAGGCCCCGGCCGCCACCCGCCGCACGCAGCCCTCCGGCAGCAGCAGCGGCCGCCGCCATCGCGCTGCGGCCCCGCCGCCAACGGCCCAACCGCGGAGCGCGGCGCGGCGGCAGCTCGTGGTGGCGGCGGCCATGGCGAGACAAACCCCGCCAGTAGCCACCATCCGATTGGCTCTGGGAAGCGGCGGGAGAGGGATGCCGCGCAGTAAGGTGGAAGCGGATTGGCTTTGGTGCCGGTGGTAGAGTTTCGATTCCGCAGCGCGGAGCCCTGCCGGCGACGGCAGCTGAGGAGGGTCAGAGCGCGCAGGGCGCATGGCTCCTCATTGGAGCCGTCCGGGAAGTCTGAGGTAAAAAGTGAGCAAAAAACCCCATGAAGCCCTTGTCTCTAAAGAGGCAGCTTTAGAGCTAAAACTCGATTAAAATATGGGTGGACACGAGCACAAATGGGGATAAGGCTGGGGGGGCGGGAGACCTGCGCCATGGCTACAGCCTCCTTCCCACCGCTGCTGCCTCAGGAGACCTTGTGGCACCTGCACACCCGTGAAGCCTCTTCCGGCTGCCACCACCTCAGTATTGCTGCTGAGTGACAGCAGGCACAGGGCCTACCGTGGGTATGCTGTTCCATGTTACAGGTCAGAAATTACAGCCTGGTTTGTGTTGGAAGGGACCTTAAAGCTCCTCCAGCTCCAACTGCCACAGGCAGGGACCCCTTCCACTGGAGCAGCTTGCTCCAAGCCCCTGTGTCCAACCTGGCCTTGAGCACTGCCAGGGATGGGGCAGCCACAGCTTCTCTGGGCACCCTGTGCCAGCGCCTCAGCACCCTCACAGGGAAGAGCTTCTGCCTTAACTTTCAAAGTGCAAGAGGAGGGTTACAGCTGTTGTTAGCACTTACTACAAAGAATTGTCAGTTAAAGTATTTGTTGCCCTGTTACATGCTCAGCGTGTATCCAAAGGCTACATTTACAGGAGAGTGCTTTTTCCTTACAGTAATTGTTTCTCAGACATTATTTCTTAGCTGCACAATGCAAAAAAGATTAGTAATTATTGTTATTTATGCCTCTCAGCATAACTGAACAGTAACACCATAGTGGAGACTTGATCACTCCAACAGTGAGAGCCGTGTAGGATTTAATGAATACAAAGTGTCACACTTCATTCTAAACTCATCTGTCATCTGGAGTTAACAGTTTAAATTTGGGGGATATTTAATATAAAATCAATGCCATTTATTACTAGTTCGTTTCTAATGCTATTTTTATATTACTTGTATAGTAATCTGTTAACTGTATTTTTCTATTTGAGTTGCATGTATAGAAAACACATTCATTAGCTGGGAGAACTGTCCAAGTAATCATTTTACTTCTGTGCCAACGTGGTTCTTATTTTTTGGCAAAACACAGAAGACAGAAATGAGTGATCCAGAAACTTAGGATTTGGCCTGGCCAAAGGGCTGTTAACTTTACCCAGATCAGAAGTCACTGGTGCAGTTTTGTTTGGGACAAAAATATATTAGGTGGCAGAGCAATCATGTTCACTGTGTTTGAATTCACATTTGTTTTGCTGCTGACAAATAGAGGATTGCTTGGAAGGATTTTTGTCATTATTACTTATTAAAATTGCTGTTCTGTAGCTCATGGCAAATACCTTTTCAGAGTTCTATACTGGTCAAATACATTAAAATGTATTTGATTTTCTAGAAGTGATAAAGGAGTGATTGGAAGCATTCATATAATACAAGAGACCTGAGCAACACAAATGGTGTCTTCTGTTAAGCACAGAGGTGGTTAATTGGAGCTTTTAAAGCCTGAATTCAATGGGGGAAGCCAACATACTTAAAGCAGAGAATTGCATGATACAAATGACAAGCAAAGAAGAGACACCAGGGCAGCAGTTCATGGAGAATGAATGCAAAGCTATATATGTATCTTGAGGTTGACTGATGTTGCAGAAGTTAGAAAGAATCAAAACAAAGGTGTAGAGAAATATACAGCGATGACTTAAAAGTGATCTGTAAGTGAAGATCTTTCTAACAGGCACTGTGCATTCACCACAAAGGACAAAGCCACACAGAATTAGCGTGAAAAATGTTTTTCTTGAACACTTTTGCTGTCAACAGTAACTAGCACGCAACACTTCTGCATTAGCTCTAAATATGTGACACTCTGTCTAGGTAAAAGAAATTGAGGCATGTTGTCCTCCTGACTCTGTCACCAGTGATACTACACAGTCATAACTATTCTGACATTGTTCCGAGATCTTAGAGAAATACCATAACTTTTAAACTCTTGAGAAGCAGCCATGCAAAATATATGCTTCAGCTTTAAAAAAGCCATTCATCCACATGACTTGCACCAAAGACTGAATTCTATAGCTGAGATTATGTATGGTTGTAAAAAAGTCCAGAATAAACATAACAAAATGTTTTTCAGATGATGCTTTTAAAAATGATGATCAACCTTGTTATTTTTTCCATTCAAACATGCATGAGAAGAGTTAAACAGTTCACAAACAGCCATGAGCATTGAAAATAGAGCTCTTGACTTAAACCAAAATTATTAGATAGCTTTTTCCACACTCACCAAAATGAGAAGCCTGGAGCGTACACGTTTTGTAACCATCATGGGTTTAAGCAGCTCACTTTTAGCCTGTACATCTGTGCCCCATCCTCTCCAGCTCACCAAGCATGCTGGTGCAACTTATGTGATAGCAACAGCAAACTTGTTTATATTAAACTTTCCCAAGTTGGGTGGAAGTTAGTTATGATCCACTTAGTCAACTTCTGTGGCAAGAAGCAGCTACATTTGGCATACACTCTTCCACTGAGGGGCTTCTCATGGCCCTGATTTCTCCTGGGCTTAAGTTTATGTTCTGTTTTATACTGTAAGATTAAATTGAGCTCCTTAAATGGTTTTGATGGGAAAATACATGCACTTACTATTTTATTTGTTGTACTTAATGCTTAAGTGGAACCCATTACACAAACCTGGCTCTATGAAAGCAACTCATAGGGAATGATAAAGATAGCACTTACCTTAAAATAAAATAAATCCTCTCAATAATAATTTGTTTTTCCTTTTTTTGCCATTATTGCAGAGAAAGACAATGCTGGAAAGAAACAGTGCCTGTTACCACTCCAACAAAGCTTCCAGTAGTGCTCCAGGCATAGCACCACACACAGGTAGGCTATATCAAGCTGCTGATTTCATTACAAGCTCTGAAGAATAATTAGGGATGTGACAAGGGCCAGCATTAAATAGCCCAGGTGCCTGTTCACATATAACACCCAAGCCAGTAACATTTTGAACTAGTAAACTTGTTCTAGTAGGATATATGTCTCTCATTCTAACTTTTTAAAGAAGCCTTAAGAGCATACATTGGAATAGCATGATTTTAAAGAAACTGCTTTTCTCTTTCAATTGTTCTTCTCCCCCTATTCCTGTCATGTTTAGCACTACCTGAATTCCCTGCTGTATCTCTTGTGATAGCTTTCAGATGCTGCTAGAATTTCATTAAACTTGCATTAGCTGCAGTGATTACTTGATTAAATCTTACTGTTTTCTTCAGAAAACTAATTTGAGGAGTAATCAAAGATTCTGTGGCAGGTGAAATCTTTGATTTAAATGGTTTCAGAATAAAATTAAGAAGGTAGGTTGATTGCATCAAGCAAACTACCCAGTCACGGCCATCTGACTCTTGGCTTGTATTATCTTTGTGGGGCACCTGTGTCTCATCTTATTTTAGGACAGCACCAAAGATGCTTTCTTCTCTTGGGTACTAGGGGGTTGAATACTGTTCTGTTCCTGAGCAGGAAGGAGATGTGATGTAGCAGCACAGTGTGTGCTTTACTTATGGGAATGGAGCATCAATTCAAGCAGAGGATGTAGGTAAATTTGAACCTGTAATCATCCTAAGCATTACTGTTTTTTTAACTAAGCTGTAGATGTCTACAACCCAGGATTTTCTAAAGTGGATGCTTGAATCTGTGAAAACCAGTTACAAATGAAAATCCCCCTTTTCTAGATCAGTGCTGTGATTTCTAAGTTATATTTTTTGCACTGTATAAAGCGCAGCTAAGGTAGAGGATTGAACAATTGTCAGAGGAAATTCTTTCTTTTTCTTTAGGAAAGGTAGTTATGAGTGTGTGTATATACAGCTTATGTGTTTACATCCTGTCTACTATACCCACCGTGCAATACACACATACAGTCTATAATGTTTCTGTTGAGTAAGAAGCTTTCAAGACATTTGAGTCATGACTGTTATTGCTGTGAAATCGGAAACTAGTAGAAGAGTTGAGGAGAGCAGTTGCTCCCCCCCTAGTTGTGGTAGAAAGCAACACAAAACAACAGACAAGACAGACTTCTTCATGTCTGTCTGGGCTATCTTCATTTTTTGTATTGAGAATCAACTGGTTTGATGTTTAGCAAACTTTTAAACCAAGGTGTCCTGCTGGTGTATGGGATGTTATGTGTCTCCAGCAAGTCAGCTGTAAGATATACTTTCTGTGAGGAGAAAAAAACCCAACAATTGGGAAGTTGGGTCTTTTGCAGCCTCCTGGCAGGTTAGAAACAGCCTCAGCAGATGCATTGAGTGGGAGCAGTCTTAAAACTGAGGGTCTGTAGTGAAAGCTTGTAAACGCAGGTGCAGGGGCTTTGCTGTGCACAGGCTGACTGAAATGTGTTGATGTGAGCTGGCAGGAGCAGTTCTGTAGGATGATGGGGAGTGCCTGTCTGTTTCTAATAGCAGTTGTTATACATGCTGATAGAAACTCTTCTATATTGGAAGTAAAGACATGGTTTGTAGTTCTTCTTTCCAAGAACTTGGCCAGGTATTGAAGTGGAGCTGTAGCAGCTTCTGGAAGCTGTGGATTTGAGTCTTTTTTTGGTTTGGTAAACCACCCTAGTTCATTAATCTGATGCCTTAAGTCCATGTTCCTCTGAAATCATTATCCCCACATGCTGTGAGACTGTATTAACGAGTATTTCCATCCCCTGCTTAAAGGAAAACTATTCTCTGTAACAAAGTCTCTCCAAGGACTTACCCTCATATTTCATGCTACTTTTTGTTGAACTGCTTTCTCTTTGCTTAACTCCCTGGAAACAAGAATATTTGAGGTCAGTGTTTGGGACAGGCAGTGGTACCATATGGGTGTCCTGTTTGTAAGTATGTGTGTATTTACTTACTACTTGTGTGTTTGTATATGTGTATGTTTACTTACTAAATGTGTAGGCCTGTTTGGTGTAGCATTTGAGAATCTGCTAATATTTCTTTTAAGTAGTTATATAGTGTCTTTGAAGTGAATACCTCTTTTGAAGTGGTAAATATGTTTTGGGGGTAGGTATTAAGCTGGGGCTAAGGCTTGTGCTGAGAGATGCTCATGGACAGGGGAAAGGCATGAGTAGATGGATCTGAAACATTTTTCATTTGTTATGTTGTCATAAATGAGGGCATTTGGGTTGGAAATAGGAGGAATGTCATAAAGTGGGGGGAGATTTGTAACTGGAGTAACTTTTGAAAGCTGGGTGAGTACTACCAGGTGTAAATGAGTGTGGGAGAGTGGTTTCCTTTAGCTGAGGCAGCAGCTGGTGAGGGTGGAGGAACAATATAGAGGGAAAAAGTCTTTTAATAAAGAAAAGCCTGCAAGCAGGAAGAACATCTCTCAAAGCAGTGCAGTAATGGTCCTGGAGGTCTCAGGCAGCACTGTTGTTCATGTTTAGAAGTCCCATTTTCTTGTTCTCCCAACTCCTGGCTGAGAAAATGCCCTGCAAAGCTCAGTAAAAGGCTTTAGAAGTTACCTCATCTGACAACAAAGTTTCTCTTATCTTTGGATGTGTCACTTACTCATCTTTGGCTTTGGGAGAAAATCAGAGGGATGAGCATCTCCAGTGAGAGTTACTGGTTTTAAACAGTTCTCTGGGTTACAATACGTTTTCTCCAGAGTCTGTGAAGCATCCCATTTTCATCCCAGAGACCGTCCCTTGTGCTGCGTGCCTTTGCTGGAGTCTTTTTGGAAGACCCTTGGAGGGGTCTCATCCTGTCCTTTCCGTACTGAAGAAATTGATAACACCCCTGGGCACATCTGCAGCGAGCTCCCTGCACAGAAAAAGACCCTAAAATGGGTTATTTCGTGCATCTCTCTCTATTTAATCTTTTGCCATAGGGTGGCACTGGTGAGCTGACCAAGGGATTCCCTTCTTGTGCAGTCCGAGCGACGCTAGGGCTGTTTTGTGGCGATTCCTGCAGAGTGCAGCTTCTGCCCACACAACCCCTCCTCAGCCTGCTTGGAAACTTCAGAAAATAGACTGAATATTTGTGGAACCATAGAAAAGAAGTTTGTTTTTTCATTACATGTTATCACACCGCTCTCTAATCCTTCACACAACCCCCCAGCTTGGCTCTTCAGTGGGATCAAATGAAACATGGGTAATTTTTCACTTGCAGGGATGAATGATTGGCACAGAAAACAATTCTTTTATTTGAAATGAAGGGGGAAATCTGCACAAATGGTGAATTCTACAACGTTTACAAGGGACAGTGGTGTCCCCTTTGGGCAGCCAGAGTGAAGAGTGGATGAAGAGCCACTGGTTTAAAAAGGAGGACCTAAAGGTGTGATTTTAAGCTTTTTCAGGCATTTACATGACCTCTGAGCATTCAGTGCTGTATTCTTAACAGAACAGCCAGAGTTTAACATAAATGCAAAAACACTGCCTGATAGGGATGATTTTTAGATACCTGTTCTCAAAACTGAATTAGCACCACTTCTAGCATGACAAATGACTTGTGACCTGTATCTTCAGTTGATTTAGAAAGAAATGCAAGTGAACCCCATGTGCAATGCACAGAGCTTCCAGATGTGTGTGCTGGTTTGCTGTTGATTCAGTTCTTGTGTGCCCAAGTTAAAATGATTTGAACTCTGGCAACTTCTCCCCCAGTGTTCCATCCAAGGGCTGAACATGGCTCAGGGCTCCTCTCTGTACAAACCTGTGAAGCCATGCAGACATTTGTTGGCTGTGAAGAGCCAAAGGTCTAATTTTAACTGATTATGATAGGAATGATGACAAATATCAAGGATACAGATAGCTCTGAAACAACCTGAGGCCCTGAATTGTTTGCCCAGGGCTGAAAACTGAGCAAATGGCAGTGACAGACTGAGGGTGGGCATCCTTTTGGGAAGGTGTTTTCTGAAATGGAGGTTTTTGTTTGATGGGCAAGTAGCAGTCTGGTCCAGCATGCAGTGCAAAGAAAATGCATGTAAAATGAAATAAATATGTATTTTATGCATTTAAAAATTAAAAACCTGATATAATCTGGGATTTTCCTGTGTGGTAACCCACAAACCAGTGAGGCTGCACTCACTATTGCCTTCAATCCTTCACAGATTTTAAAGGAATTACAATTTTAAGGGCTGATGTCTTTCCCTTACTGCTTTCTTCTTTTTGTTAGGGAGAAACGTGAGCTGTCCCTTGCTATCATGTGAGGAGGCATTTGCCTGATTGACATCCTTTTGGACACTGCTCACTTGGGAGTGTGGATGTGAATTTGGGGTCTGCGCCTGTCCTGCAGCACTCTGTGAGGACGTTGCCTGTTTTTGGGTAAGACAATTCAGAAAGGCTGAGGGTTAGTGAACCAAATGGATGAGTAAAAGGTAAGTAAGATGATGGGATGGAGGAAGGCAGCAATGAGGATTGATGACATGGCTCAAGCTGGCAATGGATCATGGAGTGAAGATGGGTGATTGAAAGGCCAAACGATTGATCTGTGTTGTGTCGGGTGATGGCACAAAGACAATCAAAAAGGTACATTTCGAACTCTTGGAATCCTTTGTTGAAACGCTGGTTGTGATGATTTAGCTGACTTATGAATTAGCTATTTAATGATTATTTAGACTTTCACATTGGGCATACTTTCTTTTAGCTTAGTGATTTCACTTTAAAAAGCAGTTTCAAGTAAGAAAATAAAGACAGTGATTAATAGGGCATCTCTAACAGAGCAAAGCTCAGGAGCCTCAAAGGTGCTGGTGGTGCCATGCGGAAAGGCCTTGGTAGTGTCAGAGAAGGAGAATGTAATGTGAAAATCAGAAAGAAGGCAGGAAATGATGGCTTGCCTACAGCTTGTCAGTGATTAAAATAGACATGAAATCCTTTGAATCCTTTTTATTTTTGCTTTCTATGGAACTCA